TGTTGCTGAAATTGTTTATTCTAAGAATCTTCTGATGCAGTTCTGAATCTTTTGTGTAAAGGATCATGTTGTCTGCAGATAAGGATAATTTGATTTCTTCATTTCCTCTACATATGCCTTTTATTTCTTTCTCTTGCTTAACTTTTCTGGATAAAATTTTTAGTACTATATGAACAAGAGTGGTAACAGTGGGCACCCTTGTTTTGTTCTTTGTTTTAAAGGGAATGCTCTATCCAGGTGCGGTAGTGCACACCTGTAATCCTAGCACTTAGGAGGCTGAGGCAGGAGGATTGCCACAAGTTCAAGGCTAGCCTGGGCTATATAGTGAGTTCAAGGCCAGCCTGAACTAAGTAACAGGAACCCATCTCAAAAAACCAAATAAATAAATAGACAAACAAATAAATAAAAATGGAAATGTTCTAGTTTTCCCTATTTGGTATGATGTTGATAATAGGTTTGGCATAAGTGGATTTTATCAGTTTAAGATATAGTCCTTTTATGCCTTTCCTCAGGGTTTTTGTCATAAAACAATGTTAGATTTTGTCACAGGCTTTTCTTGCATCTATTGAGACTATGTGGTTTTTATCCCATTTATGTGGTGTATTTCATTTATTGATTTACATATGTTGAACCATCTCTGCATCCCTCGGATGAAGCCAATTTGGTTATCATGTATGGTCTTTTTAATGATTTGTTGTGTTCTGTTTGCAAGTATCTTGTTGAAGATTTTTATGTCTGTGTTCATTAGGAGATTGATCCATAGTTTTCTTTATTTTGTTGAGTCCATGTCTGGTTTTGATATCAGGGTAATGCTAGCTTCAAAGAATGAGTTTGGCAGTGTTCCTTTCCTTCAGTCATGTAATTTAAAATTGTTTTTCTAACAGTTTCATCTTTAAAAAAAAATAATCTAGAAAGACTGTGATATGTAGTACTGTAGGCTGGGATATAGAGGATGAGGGAAATAAAAAGGAAGAAAAGGAGGAGAGTAGTTCAGAAAAAAGGAAAAGAGAAAAAAGACAATAGCAGAAGAAAGAAAAAAGAGTTGGGACTTGGTTGGTATTATTTTGATGTCTGGAGATGAGGGCTGACGGAGAGGGGGCTTGAGAGGTTATTTGTTGGGGTGGGAAAAAGGAAGAAGAGGGAGGGAAGTATATTTGTTGCTGGAAGGAAGCTGTAAAAAGGCCAGAACCAATTAGTGTGCTGATAGCAAGCTTGTGTTGAATCCCCTGTACAATTTTTGGTGAGGGTTAACCTGAAATGCCCATGAAAGTCACTATTTAAGCTAAAGCACAAACTAGTTCTTATTTTCCTTTTCACAGATACAGATAGTGCGCGCGCGCACACACACTCACACATCTGATGAAAGGAGAGAAAGAAAAGAAAGAGAAACTCCCCCCACCCGGCCTGCCCAATAAAAACCCCACACATATACAGAACACAAGAGTATCTCGGTCCTATTTATACTGCAGTCAAAATTTGACCAGTGTGCTCTTCCCTCTCCATTTGCAAATGGAGAAACTGACTCATAGTGATTGTGGAGGGGCTAAGCTCCAGTTCTCTGTGTTTGAATCCAGGAGGTTTGTTATGTCTACTGATGCTTGAAAAAAAATCATATGATTTCTTTTCTTGCCTGCCAGTGAGTGATGGAGCCTGCTTCTCACGTCCTCAGCGTGCCATGCTTTGCTTTCAGTTGTGCTCCTCTGGATGTGGCAAGCCAGAGTTTGTTTTTGTTTGGGATTTTGTTTTGTTTTGTTTGCCTTTCTTATGATCAGATACCTTCAATAATCTGAGGTGTGCACAGTAGGGTAGGGCAGTGTGACAAGTCAAGTAACCAGTCCTGCTGATTTCTGAAGTGGTCTTTGTTTTTATTTTTTGTTTGTTTTTGGTGTTTTGAGATAGGGTCTTCCTAGGTAGTTCAAGGTGGACTTGAACTCTCTATATAGCCTAGGCTGTCCTTAAACTCCTGGTGATCCTTGTGCCTCAGCCCCCTTAGTGTGAAAGGCCTTCTTGATCTCTTTCCCTTTCCTTCCACAATGATCCTTGCACCCTACAGCCGTGAGTATGCCTACTCTTTCTATACAGCTCTGAGTGAGTTCACAGTGCAACCCCCTCTGGCTGTGCCGCTCCTCTCAAACTTTCCACCTGCATCAAACTCTGCACTGAACCCACAGAGAGTCTCTGTCCAGCCTGTGGACTTAGTGGTTCTTAGGGTATGGAGAGCTCAGCAGCTTTTGACTGGTAGTGGAAGAGTTCCTTTGCAGGTACTTAGTTCTGCAGCATCTGGAGATTGGGCAGTGGCAGGATACCCCCAGGGCCCAGAATTCACTGGTGTTTGGGGGAGCAAGTTGGCATTGCTCAAGTGCTTTCTCCTCTCCTAGATCACACTGGTCACAAATGCTGCTTGCTGCTGCAAGTCATTGAGCCACAGCTCTCTTAGTATCTGGTTCCCGGTCCCTAACCAGGCCTATGCCCATTTTTTTCTTTCCCAAGGGCCCAATGGTCCTAACCCACTGCCCTCTGAATGATTCACCAGCTTTCTGTTTCTGTAGTGTCTTGATCTGCAAATATCTTGCTCGCCAAGCTTGCTGTCCCAGTGAGAAGAAAGTTAAGACAGGTGGCACTGCCATATGGGACTTGCTAGGCTAGATGCCAAGCTAGCAGCCAGCTGCTGCTGCTGTACTTAGCTTGTTCCCTGCTAAGGTTAGACTTTTTCCCAAGATGCTATGTTCTTGGACCTGGGGTGTAAGAAGTACTTGGAACAAGGGTGGCCCAGCTTCTTTCTCGTAATTTCTCCTGGTACTAGAATTCATCTGGCAGGCTTCTATTTCAAGTTTCCTTCCTATATTTAAGTCTTTGTTGAACCCCAATTTCCAAGTGCCTTTGCTTTCCAGTGAGCAACTTCTGAGTGTCCCATGAACACTGCTGCTCCTAGTCAGCCATGATGGGAAAACAAAAAACAAACAAATAAAAACACAGTCCACTTTTGCTACTAATTTTTAGCAGCCAAATTTTAATCCTATAATAGAAATTCATTAATATCTATATTCTTTGAAATAGTGTTCTAACTAGATTTATTTTGATAAGCTCTTTGTTACTGTTTTTTAAACAATCTGTTTTGCATGCTTTTGTTTGTCTTGCTTGTTGGTGGACCTTTAAAACCAGAAGTAATAGGACCAGGCCTGTTTTTGCTCAAACCTAGGACTAGCCACTATAGTTTATTTCATTATCTGGCGATGAGAGAGGAAAATACTCTCAAGTAACAATCAGAATGGAGTTTCAGAAAAATCCGCCTTTCACATAAGAATATTTAACTCATTGAGTGCCACCTAATTTCAAGGGTGCCAGTAGTTCAGTAGTCTCAGAATGGAAGTTAGGAGGAAGAGGGTAAACCTCTCAAGGCTCAGTCTACATTTCCTTCTTTATTCTATCACCATCCCAGTCCAAGCTATCTGACTCTTTTCTGCCTAGTGTCATACGCAGACTCCCATTACTTACTAGGGAGCACACTCTTGGGAATTCAGCTAGGTCAGGAAAGATACAGTCAGAAAATATGCAGTCAGTTTAAGGGTTGATAGGTCTGTAGCTTCCAGGTGTTTATTTAACCAACTAATTAACTGACATGCGGCAAGCATTTTAGTAGATATCAGTAATGAAGAGATGAGTTAGATGTAGACTAGCCAACAGTAAGTAGATTACAAAACCTCAGCAAGACTCAGTATGTATTATCAGTGTGCCCAATATAGTAATACGAGGCTTGTTTAGAGGGAGATTTAGGACCCAAAGGAAGATATTAACTACATCTGCTGGTGAGGAATAGGGGAGCTAATGACCAAATAAGGATTCCTGAGCTGAGTTTAATGGTAAGAAAAGGAGATAGCCAGATAAAAGTTGGAAGTGGTTAATCTTTGCAGTAGGGACAGCATGAATACAGAAACCTAAAGTGTAGGGGAGCAAAACCACAGAGTACAAGAAGTTTGGTTTAGCTGGAGTATCAATAAAAGCAGGAATGGAGGAGAGTAGAGGGAAGGTGAAGCTGAAGGAAATTGGCAGGATCCAATTAAAAAAAAATTACCCTTAGAAATGAATTTCAAGTATAGTCATATTTGCATTTTAAAAAGATCACCAGCTGCTCTTTGAAGGTTTGGGGAGAGGTAGAGTGGAAGTGAGATTCTTTGGGTGTCTGATGCAGTAACTACCTTAAACATGGTGCCAAGATGGTTTGTATGCATGGAGATGATTAGAGGCCTAGTGGGCACTGAGAAGGAGAGAGAGAGGACTCAAGCACAAGACAACACTGACTTCAGATCTTGTCATTTACTGATTTGGAGTTGCAGGAGATTGCAAAGATTTGAAAATAAAGATAATGAATTTAAGTTAAAATTTACTAAGTTTGAGATGTCTACACCTGGATATGCAGATAAAGATGACTAACCCACCATTAGATACAAGGATCTACAGGTTAAACAAACAAAAGCTAATGCTGACCTAATGTGGCCTTTCAAATATTTTTAATGTGTGGTGTTTTTTTGTTTGTTTGTTTTTTAAATTTAAGGCAAGATAGCTGGACATAGGGTGCATTCCTGTAATCCCAGCTACTCTGAAGACTGAGACAGGAGGATCACAAGTTTGAGGCCAGCCTGGGCAACTAAGCAACGCCCTGTCTGAAAATTTGAAAATTAAAAGGGTTGGGGGATGTAGATAGGTGGTCTCTGGGGAAAGAAAAAGGGCAAAGAAAAGGAAACAGAAGTAAGGAAAGGAGGAAGGAGAGGAGAAAGGAAGGAGGAAGGGAGTGGGGGGAAGAGAGAGAGAGAGGGGGAAGAGAGAGGGAGAGGGAAGAGGCGGGGAGGGAAGGGAAGGAGGGAGGCAGAGAAGGACAAAGTAAGAAAATTATCAACCTCAGTGCTCTACGTCAAGACCCGGACCTGGCTTTCATCAGAGTCTTGCTCTTACAGCAGCCTGTAGCCACGCCCAGGTGGGGGGGGCAGGCCAGCCCAGCGCATGGGCTTGGAACCGCGTGCTCCAATTCAGCCTCCAAGTTGGCAGTTGCTGGTCTTCTCAGATGCGAAGCCCAGATTTGCGTTTGGGGCTGTGAGTGAGTCACTGTAAGTAACAGGTCCAGTCCTTTGCTCCCACAGGGGCATCACTAGAAACAGGAGGTCACACTAGGATTTTGAGTTGCAGTTAAACCCGAGGCACCCTGATGCATTTCGCTTTCGTTGAATGAGCTTTGCTGCCTTTCGTTGCCCCTGCCCCGGGAAGAAAGGGACTGAGCCTCACATCAGCCCACATCCGCCCCACCTGCCACTATAGGCCTGACAGGGAGGGCAGGCCACAAGCGGCTTGCAGCCCAGGCCTTTTCCAAGGCCCCACAGCTGTGAAAGGGTCCCTTGTTTCTCTCTCGGAAGGGTCACCATCCTCCTCGCCTGTCAGGTGTTTTATTCGGCTTTTAGTTGTCTTTGGCAGGAGAGATGAGTCTACTTCTCTCTCAGTCCTGACCTCCACCACCAGGTTTTTACTTAACTAGATGGGTAGGTGGCAGCGTCCTGTAATGGAATGGGACAGACTTTGGGAGAATAGATTTTGAAGGGAAACCCTAGTTCATTTACATACATATTAATGTTGAAGGGCATGTCACAAATCCAAGTGGGGGATTCGGTAGGTTGTTGGATATATACATGTGAAAATCAGAGAAGAGATCTGGAAGGGAAATAATTTGATCCACCTGCCTATTAGGGTTTAATTTTTGCGTGAACTTGACTATCCTTGGATGTGCATAGACTCAAAGGATCTGTAGGTACATGGAAAATGGTTATGGCAATGATTCTGGATAAGAAGCTTTCTTTTATTCAGTATCCAATCAGTTCAACTTCCTCCCAGTCTTAGAGCCCTTGTTCACATCTGCCACTGGACACACCAATGTGTGTGTTTGTGTGTTAGTTTCATTTGTGTGTTAGTTCCATTGTGATCATTTTCCTTTGGTCGATGGTTTTTATAAATGTGAAATTTTCTGGATTTTGGGGGAATTTGAGGGAACTGAACCCAGGTCCTAGTGCATGGTAGGTAAGCACTCTGCCATGGAACTACATCCTGAGCTTTTCTGCTATTTTTTTTTTTCTCATTGGTTTCTGACAAAAGTGCAATTTTGTCAGAAAATATATTCTTAAAATGTCAGTCCTTTAAAGTTCATTTAAGCCAATAGTATGGCTCAAGATATTATCACTTTTTTTCTTTTTTTTTTTTCAGTACTGGGAACTGAACTGAAGCCTTATGCATGCTAGGCAATCACTGCTTCTGAGCTACATCTCCAGCCCATATGATCACTTTTAATAAATTGTCTTATGACCACTTGAAAAGCATGTATTTTCTGAAGTTGAGTACAATGTTTTATAAATGTTCATTAAGCTTCTTTGTTAATTGTTTCTAAAGTCATCTCCTGACAGATTATTTTGTCCACTTATTCTGTCCTTTATTGAGAGACGTGCTCCACCATCATGGTTGATTTATTTGTCTTTTAGAGACTATGTGATTGAGTACTATAAACTGAAAAAAAAATTCAGTCTTTTTTTATCATTAGAAAATGTCCTTCTTTATCTTCAGCAATACTTTTTTGCCTTAATATTTATTTGTCCACTGGTCACCTGGTAATGTAGCTTGTATCATTTGGCCCCAGTTCTTCATTCTTCTTTTAGTTACATCCTTTGTGTCGATACCTTTAGCCATGTAATTTTACTCCTAGAGATTCCCAGCTCTTAGTTTTTACTTTGGGCTCAACAAGTAAGAGACATTCCTTGAAGCAGGGGTTTGAAATGGCCTTGCTCATTGGGATTTGCTTTTTTGGACAACTTGCATCACTAGAAGAACATACTTAAGCCAGTTGGTTAAGGAGACACATGTTTCGGTCAGTTTCCCCCAGGTATGGTAGCTGAGGCCAGCCTACATCAATGGCTGCAGAACAGAAAGCCATTGAGCTCGCCTGTGTGAGCAGGGAAGTCCATTGTTATATGGCACAGTAGTTGATTTTTGTCTGTGGTTGATACACAGCATTACTTTGGTAATAAAAACTGGATACATACTAAAGAATTACTTTTTACTCCTCTGCCCCCCTGATGGTGCTAGGAATGAAAACAAAGGCCTCACACGTTAGGCAAGTGGTTTGTTAGTGAGCCACATTCCTGGCCCTCTTTTTCTCTTCTTTTATAGCACTTTCAGTCTTAATACACCAAATACTTACAAAAACATATGATTGAGTCCTGTTATTTTAATAGTTTGACAGTTCTTTTGCTCTTCTTTAAATTTGAGATTTAGTCTACCTACATTTAAAGCAATTACTGATGTTTTAATAGGTTTAAATCTGGCCACTGTCCCCACTGCTTGAGTGAGGAGGCTTTCTCTGTTTCCCTGGTGCATGTACCGTTTTCACCTTTATCTTGATTTCTTTTGGATTATTCTACTTTATCTACTAGCTTTATTGAGGAATAATTGGATATAATAAACTTCACATATTTAAAATGTACAATTAATATTGCTCTGGATTAGGGGTTAAATTTGATGCCACAAAATAGGTGGCAATGCCTTAATTGTATGAGTGTTGTCAGGCCCAAGGGCCTTTTCCATCCTTGTCAAGGGAGTACTAACCTGTCCTTTAATACAACAGGTGGGGATGAATTTGGAAGGACAAGTCTGGATGCAGACAGACCTGTTAGGAGGCGAGTGAAATACTCAGAGGGAGGACTTGAGCTGGGGAAGTGACAAGGAAGTGAAATTATGAGAATAAGATAATCTCCAAGTGCTCTACTGGATCTATGGATCTGTTATTTCAGAATTTAAGAGGATAAACTGAGTAAATCAGAAATTGACTGTGTTAGGATGAGTTATGGACATCCCAAAGATGCCTGTACCCTAATCTTCAGCATCTATGATTCCATAGTATCATCCTGTCATGATAAAAAGTATTTTGCAAATGTAATTAAGGTAATGATCTTGAGATGGGGAGATGATACTATTCAGGTGGTTTCAGTGTAATGACATGGATCCTTAAAAGAGAGAGAGAGGGCTGGGGGTTTGGCTCAGTGGTTCTACCACCTGCCTCACAAACACAAGGTCCCAAGTTAGATCACTGGTCCAAAAAAGAGAGAAGGGGGATCAGAATCAGAGAGAAGATCTGATGATGCAAGCAGAAGTTGGAGCTAGAGAGAGAGAATATCAGAGAATGGGAATGGAGGATGCCACAGTGCTGATTTTGTAGAGGAGGGCTCAACATCAAAGGAATGCAGGTGATCACTAAGAAACTGGAGGAGGCGAGGTAATGGATTGTCCTTTAGAGCCTTCAGAAGCAGTCCTGCCACCATCTTGATATCTATCCCATGAAACTCATTTTGAAGTTCTGATCTCTAGAACTGTAAATTAATAACTTTTTCAAAGCCACTAAGTTTGTTGGCAATTTGTTACACCAGCAGGAGGAAATTAACACAGGTTTTTCATGATCCTTTGACTTAAGAAAACATTATTAATTCTTTTGTTTGACAATTATTGAGTGCCTACTTATGCCAGTTTCCCATGGTTAGGACATATCAGAGACGATAAAAACACCTTCTGTCACATGGAACAATCTCAGTAAGAGTTGAAGTGAAACTACAAACAGTAAATATACCAAATAAGAAAAGGGAAACAGAAGCCCAAGATGGCCATGACTATAGTTTAGGCCGTAAAGGGGGTCAGCAAGACTCCAGCACAGGTGCATCTTTCAGTGTCCGGGTGTAAATAATTTATGTAACCATCCATCCCATATAAGGTCTGGTACTGGTGGGCAGTCACTATTGTGTGTACAGTGGCTGATAGCTGGGCAAATACAATGGCGGGTGAGAATAAAGATTTCTAATTCAGCCCACAGCTGTGTGTCTCTTCTTTGGGCTGCCCAAATCTCAGGTGAACCTCCCCAGTCTAAATAAGAGACAAGACAGTTGGCCTAGTGTGGCAGGATTTGCCTCAGCCCAGGCCAAGGCCGAAACCTCATTAAGGGAAAATGGCAACAGGGAGTTGAAGGAAGCAATATACACTGCTCGTAAATCATGTCCAGAAAGAATGCATGCTGCTGAGATAATAAAGCTCATCAACACAGACAGCTTGGGGGCTGAAGATGTTAAGTTGCTTCCTTGTAGGAAAGCCCATAGGGTGCTGATACATAAAATGAAAGTAGCTACAACCCAGCAAGGCCATGAAGATAAAGCAAGACATCAATGGGGCCAGGATGGGCGTACAGCCCTCCAGGAAGACTTCAGGCTGAACATAGAGCACACACTGGAGACACAAGTGGAATCTAAATCAGGTTTCAAATCAGAGCCTGAGGCAGGCCCAGGGTCCTGGGCAGGAAGGAGTGCTGCATGGGGCCAGAGACTACACGTTGATAAGATTGATACATGCAGCAGCACGGATGGTCTGGAGAGACTCCAGAGAACTGCCAAAAACTGTGAGTGGGTGGCAGGCCTGAGCAGAGCTGGTGCGACTCATGTGGGGGCTGAATATGGGACACTCGTTGCCTAGTGGCAACAGCAGAGGCAATTGGCCAGGGGGGTTGGGAGGAACTCAACCAAAGCTGCGGGGGCAACTGGAACTGGCAGTCACCAGGAGCCAACAGACAGATCTAAAGCTGGGAGCAAACCCAAGCAGAGGAGGCAGTTGCAGTGTAGTTGCTGGGGCGCTGGGACATAGTAAAGGGTGCAGAGGGGATTGAGGAGTTCAGGTGGTATCGAGGCAGAGGCCCAAGCAAACTGAGAGAAAGGGGTCAATAGGTGACCCATACACAGATGTGGATCAACCTCATCATGGCAGGTGTGGACCAAGAAAAAATTGACAAAGAGCTAAATGGCATGCTCCTAATCCTTTGAAGGCAATTATACCCACTCAACAGTGCCAAAGCGAGAAGGCTCCACAGTGGAAGCAAACAGCCCAGACCTGGGCCATAAACTTGCTATACTATGTGGCCTCTGTGGATGACGCTGTGCAGGTGTTTAATTTTGACCAGGGACAAGGCCAAGGTGCCCAGTTAGAAGGGACACCAGAAGACTGAAGGGCTCATGCTGAACTTGATGTCATTGGTCCCCCCACAAATGTGCAATTTGTGCTTGTGTTAGGGCACAGCAGGACAGACTGTAGTCTGATTTATGGCAATCTTGAGAAATTCCTGGGTAGGATGGATTACATAGATGGCCAAGGAGGATGAGCCATCAAAGTGAAACCCATGACTATGACCTTAAGTTTAGGCCATCTGCCTCCTTGAGCCTATACCATGCACGTCTCCCTTGTACTTGAGTACATTCTGAGTGTGGACATCTTCCAGAGGTTGAGATTGCAAACAATGATGCTCTCTATAGACATAGCTGCTAAGAGTCAAACTGTTCACCTCCATGTGAAAATGAAGGCGATGGATGTTTACTGTGCTGCCACAGGGTTATTTACACAGCCCTACTGTTTGCCACGGGCTGATGGCAGAGGACTTGGCTGCATGGTCAGCCCCACAAGAAGTGTGGTTATTTCATTACACTGATGATATTATGTTAACCTCTGATTCTCTTGAAGGTCTAGAGCATGCTGCTGGTGTTTCTGGCAGTCTAGAAATATATAGATGAGCCATCAACAAGGTCAGGGTCCAGGGACCTGGGCTCTCTGTCCAGTTTTTGAAAAGTTTTTCTGGTTGGGTAGGACAGAGGCTGTTATTGATGAGATGCAAAGGTGTCCTCATCCTACCACAGTGAAACAGAGACTTTTACAGGGCTTCTGGAGTATTAGAGTACTTTATTTTCCCATTTAGCCCAGGTCTGTTTTTTTTTTTTACTTATGAAAAACATAACACTTTTTAAAAATTAATTTTATTGGTAAATTTTAGGTATACAATATAATGATATTCATCATTGGAAATTTGTACCTTTAATACTCTATATTGGTTCTTATTTTTTCCCCATTCCCCTGACCTCCCTTCAACCCCTCCACCCCTCCCTATTTGCAAAGACTTTATTTCCATTTTCTCATATTAATTCTATTCCCTTCTTTCCTTACCCCTACCCACTTTCCCTTTGCCCTTGCCTGTTTTCTTCCTATCTCACATTATCTATTATACCTTTTGATCCTTGTTTACACTTTCAGTTTCTCACACTACAGAAACTATTTGGTATTTACACTTGTGTTCTATTTATTGCACTTAAGAGGATCACCTCAATGTGTACCCATTTAGCTTATAAATGTGTCTAATTTCTCATTTTTTATGGCTAATACTCCATTTTATTAAAAAAAACACATTTTCTTTATCTAGTGTCCAGTTGATGGGCAATTGGGCTGTTTACAAGTTTTAGCTATTACAAACTGTGCTGCTATGAACATGGGTGTACATATATCACTGTGATATGATTCTTTTAATTCTTTTGGGAAGATACCAAACAGGGTCAAATGAGACCCCCAATCATAGCTCTTTGAGGTATCCCCATACTGATTTCCATACTGATTGCTCCAGTCTACACTCCCACCAGCAGTGGACCAGCGTTCCATGTTCCTCACAGCCCACCCACACCCAACCCCAGCATTTGTTATTGGTTGATTTCCAAAATAGCAGCCATTCTTTCTGGGGTGAGGTGGAATCTCAGTTTAGCTCTCATTTGTATCTCTTGAATGACCACTGATGTTGAACTTTTTTTTATATGGTTATTTGCTATTTCTACTTCTTTGTCTGAGAAATGTCTGTTCATTTCAGATGCCCATTTTTGGATTGGGTCTTTAAATTGGGGAGGTCTGATTTTTTAAAGTTCTTTATATATTCTAGATACAGCACCTCTGTCTGAGGAACAGCTGGTGAAAAACTTTTCCCATATTGTGGATTGTCTCTTCACACTCTTACTGGTTTCTCTTGCTGTGCAGAAGCTTTAATAAGAAGAGATTCCACTTGTTGATTGTTTGTGCTAGTTCACATGCAACTGAGATTTTGTCCATGAACTCTTTTCTTACACCAGTGTCTTCAGGAGTTCTACCTAACTTCTCTTACAGCTGGTTTAGTGTTTCTGTTTTAATGTTTACTTCTTTTTTTTTCTTTCTCTTTATTGAGTTTATTGGTACATTCTAGGTATACAGTACAGTTACATTCATTACTGGGATCTTGTACCTTTACATGACGGGTCTTGGTTCTCATTTTTTCCCCTTGTCCCTGCCCTCCCTTCACCCTCTCATACCCTCACCATTTACAAACACTTTATTTCCATTTTTTCATTTCTCATATTTTTTTCTTTTTCCTTATTCCCTTTCCCCTACCCTTCCCACTTTCCCCACACCTTTAGCCCTTTTCTTCCTATTTCACATTGTTAATTATCCCATTAGGATCTTGTGTACTATTGTAAGAGCCTGACTGAACCAGAGCGACTCCATGTTGACCAGCAAACGATCTAGAGACTGTCATTCCCCCCCCCATCCCTTATAGGATAACTACTGATTAATTGCGAATTGTTAGGTAACTGCTTTGAAGTAGCTGGGAAACTAAATGGAAACTGTAGTGAACACAGAGACCCAACACAAATCACGCCACTCCTTATTTGCCTGTAGCTGAATGTTTTGAACATTATAATCTAAGTTGTAAATGGAATAATGGATAATCGATCTGCTGATCATTAGTACGTG